ACCACGCCCACGATCAGCGAAACCACGTCCCCTGCCATATGAAGTTGATGATCCGTACCACTCAGGAAAGCCAATGATTTTAAAACATGCATGTTCCTCATACCTCATTTTCCACATACGGTGCACTTACGAGTAGGATCGCGATTGATGGGACGGGTTGATGATTGCTGAAAAGTTCTGCTAGAGGTAGTCTCATGATTATGTCCAGAAGGAGTAAGTCTCGAAGCAAAACTCATTACTGGAGTTTCTTGAACGACACTTGAGCGAATGATGATGTTTTGTACTATTGTTTGGTACACGCTATCCAGGTCAGGGAGAGGCATGATAGCACAAATATGAGATCGAATAACTCCTTGAATGGAGTCGTCTGAGACCTGAGAGAAAGTCGTGAACACGAATGACTTCACATTCGGCTTCATGAGCGGTGCTAAGATCACACTCACACTTTCCACAGTTGCATTGTTTTGAGTTCATGGATTTAAGGATACCATCCCAAATCTTTGTCAAACTCCCCGAAGTAGTCATCAACAGACGACCCATTCTGCTTACATGTTGCCAAAGAGTTGTGTATAGTTGTTGAAGGCGAGCTCGAATTTCACCGAAAATCTCTTTTTGATAATATCCCACAGCTCCTTTGCTACCTCTCGAGTGGAGATTAATGACCTAATATTTGGTTTGATGGTTTGCTTGATCCATCCCACCAAAAGATGGTTGTTAGCAATCCAGTCTCCAATGTTAGAGGAGTCTGCCAATGGTTTCAGAATACTTCCATCTATGAAACCAAACTTCTTGCGTGAGCTCAGCGCCATACGAAACGGAAATTAATGGCCCACTCATCATAATTCGCACCGTTAAGCAACGGGGATCAAATCACTACACCGGGATTGTCACTAGATGTGAGATAGTAGGGTGATATAGTTTTTCTTTTGGTTTTAGAGGTTACTTCTACCATTGTTGCAAGTTGCATAGTGGAAGTTGTTTGTAGAGGGATAGGGTTTTAATAAACGGAAAGAGGAGAAGCAGCTCTGCTTTCGTGAATGAAGAACAGAGGCGGCTTAAAGAATAATAACGATAATTTCAAGCAAAAAATCGGATCATTGGCTCTGATACCATGACAAATTCTGAATAGCTCAATATTAACTTGTCTTTTAATGATAACGATTACATAGTATATATATACACATCTGGAGATATCTTCCTAAACCTAATACAATAATGTAAAGCAATAGAATAGGAAATATAGATATCCGAATATATGGTAATCTTCTCGTAATAATGATAAACACCAAACATAAAGTAAAACAAGTGGAGATAAAATTACATTTTACATGAAAAGATGGAATTGAAATCTCCAAAGCTCATAAAAGAGAATAATTCAAAAAGCTATAGCACAATTAACAAGTATTAGGGGTTTGTCGGCGCTACGCACCGGTTTTACTAACATTGATATGGTTTGGTTCTGATTTTATAATCTAGAACATTTTTCCGTAATGTTTTAGAAAACAAAATATGTATCGATCATATGTAAATATATTTAATTTATTGTAAGTTATTATAAAAGAACATTTTCCGTAATGTTTTAGAAAAAAAATATGTATCGATCATATGTAAATATATTAATTTATTGTAAGTTATTATAAAAGAAATTTAAATTTAAATAGATTCATGACAATTTGAATCATGATCCGCGTTAGAAAATCATCAATTCATCATCCTCTAATTCATGACATTCTTTCTTAACATGTAGACACAAAAAAAGTAGAAACAAATTTATAATGAATTTATCATATGATTATATGTGTCAGGGACTGACAGGTCTAAAAATGCAAATTACATTGAGGGAAACTTGTTGTTTTTGTACGTCAGTTTGTTGAACGAAATATTTTGAACAGAGATGATCTCATCATCTTTCTCACAGCTTAAATTTTTGTTTAGATATCTCTGCATAAACCAAATATATGGTTTGTTAGTTGTTGACAGCCAAACTTCATGGTCCTATTTAGTATTTTTTATCGAAAGATTTGCAGTTTCCCCTCTATTGATTGGAAAAAACTGAAAGGATACACTAAACTTTTTAGAGAAAATATCTTGTTGGATTAATTATAAAACCTGTATTAATTAAGTAGAAATTAACCAAATTAGAGAAAAGTTATCTTTTGTTTTGCAAAGAAACTTGTAACAATAGTTTCCACATGTTACTCCAGATTTTTTTCCACGGCTCAAGAATTGGTATAGCCTTGTTTTCGTAAGAGCTCATGTGAACATCCTTTCCTTGCCACAATCAGATTATAACACCATCAAGGATCTCCCTTAGCTACACAAAAAAAAAATTTAAGAAATAAGCCGTCAGGAGAAAGAAAGAACCAAGAACAAAATGGTGAACCTTAATTTTTCGGCAAATAATGCATTTTTTAGATTTATAATTCTACTTGTGGTCTGCCTGCGATACGCAGAGGATGTTGTTTAATTGGTTGTCAATTTAAATATATTTGTGGATAGTTATTAGGTATGGAGATTGATTCTTGATTTTTCGGTTAGTTTTTTTGCAGTTTTCAGTTTACTGGTTTTAAAGAGACATGCACTATTCAATTCTTGGTGAAATTTGGTTAAGTTTCAGATCGGTTATTTCTATCTTTGTTCGATTTTGAATAATAAAGTTAGGATCAAATTCTAGTTTAAGGTAATTTGGATCACGATGATGCTTTGTTTATTGTCTATGGATCTTTTGTTTTATTTATCTGTTTGCTAATTGATGATGTGGTTGTTATATTGAAGGAATAATTAACTTACTAATTGAATATTTACAGAAAATCTGAGCCAATAGCAGAGAATCATATCTTCGTCTAAATCATATCCCAAGGGTGCTTAGTTGAGAAACTTTGTGTTTCTCTCGTAATTTATTCAAATTATTGAGATATCCTAAAGTTTTCTGGGAAACTTCTTTTTTTTTTCGGGAAAAAATGACAAGAATTATAAAAGATAAGTCTTTTTTTAAAAGTAGAAGAAACTTTAGTTGGGTTGTGATTTGGGGGGGAGGAGGTTCAATGGCGCTTACTAACATATTTTAATGTTTAAGTTTTTGCCGCTACGGTCTTCTTTCGCTTCAACATTCACCATTTTAATCTCTCTTAGAAACCCTCTTCTACTGATTGCTCCAAGATAATGAATGACTCATGCTACTCTTTAGATCCAGTGATTAATATCTGCCCACCATCTCTTCAACATTTTGGTTTTTCTCGGATGTCCATGTATAAGGAGGTAAAGGATATGGCAATACGTTTCATAAGAGAACACATAGACTCTCGGGAAAACTCTTCACATGCGCAAAAAGACCAAGGAGGTGGCTCAGATTTTGAAGTAAATGCCATCACAAGCTTCACAGTGACCTCTCTTTCTTACTCTTACAAAATTCTCTAGCATTTGTTCCACTTGAGAGCATATGAAGAGTTTGTGTGAACTACGAAAATGTGGAAGAGTTGTTGGAATCAGGTTAATCGCTCATCACTAAAGAACATTGACAACTAACACTGAAGATAACTATTTTTTTATTTTATCATTTTTAAAGTCTATTGTAAGTGCAAACGCACACCAATTAACCTAATGTGCACACTACCACAATCGAAGGGTATGTCGATGTAACACTTTAGGATCGAATCCACAAAGACCAAATATTACACTTTATTTCTATAGGATCAAATTCAAGCTAAAACGATTAAGTGTTGCGAAGAGAAAAATCGTGAGAAACAAATAACAAAACTGGGTTTTAATCAGGATATAAGGATGTCAACCTAGGGTGTTAACCATACTAAACCAAACAATTATTCAAGCTCTTTAAGTGCAGCCTAGAACTTAGATTTCTTAATTAGAACACCTTGCTCTCGCAGGTGTGCTCCTTTCGCGGAGCGAGCTTGATACCTATGCTCTCGCGTGGATCAAGGCTCGACAACAAACATTAAGCACAAACCTAAAATGCTCACATCACACCCTGATATATACTTTCACGGACCAGGAATGTGATCTTTGCTCTCAACAGATATAGCAATCTAATTCAGGATTGATAATAAAAGATTAAACTTGGAATCAAATACTAAGTGATCAGATCAGTATCAGCAGTAAGAACAGTGGGGAGCAAAGGCGAGAATGAGGTTTATCTATGTTCAGTTCAATGGATCAACACCCTAGAACCCTAGGCTAACAAATCATGACTAAATAATGCATCAGATAAATCAAAGTATAAAGAGGATACATGGTTTTCTTCTCTAAAAAAACAATTTAGGAGGAAACATTGGCCCTTACAAAATAGCTAGAACAGATCTTCAACAAAAAGTCTCCACAAAAACTTGTGTAAAAACTCTAATGTATGTTTTCAAGTGCCAAATTCTATCTTTTGAGAGAGGAGGCGGCCAGGGTTTTTAATCAGAGAAAACGGCGCCTGCTAGGGTAGAGAGATGATGTGTTTTGAGTCTTTCCCGAAGGAGCAAGCCGGGGTTGCTCTGCATGGGTTCTCCGCGATGGAAAACTCTGATTTTTGCATTCTTTCTTTCATATGCTCCTTCTGGTGCAATCCAACTCGCTCCCCATCTGAAACAACTCAAAACACACAAAAAAGACTCTAGGAAAGCACAAATGTGATATGAAAATCATGTGTGTAACATGTCAAAAACACAACGTATCATGGTTATAAAAAGCTTAAAACATGATTTCGTTGCTTTATAGAGTTCATTTTTACCAAAACCATGACCATGGAACCTAAAGCCAATTTGGTGCCAATACAATAAGTTAGATATGTATACAACACCACAACATGGAAATGCATACACAGTTTTCAGAAAGGTTGCAACATTATGTGAAAGTAAGAATAAACATATGAGTTTAGAAACAATCTTCTCTATGCTATTCTCTAACCTATGATGTGAGTAAGAAATAAAACTTTGTATGATTACTGACAATGTATAGTGTAATGCAAGTGAAGACTGACAATGTGTGTTTGCAAATAATGGCTACTCTAAGCAATGAATCTTACCTGGTAGTGGGAACACTTGTGTGTAATCTTCAATAGCAAGAAGCCCATCTCCAAATCTGCACGCTATGTCAAACATTTCTTCTGAACGTTTCTTCTGCGGTCTTAACTTCCATAGCTCTTGTGACCCCAAAGTATTGGGGGATGAGAGCATTGGCAAGGTTGAGACTATCAGTCCACCTGCATGATGGCATTTCTAGAGATGTTAGTTAAACATATATAGAAACAAAGAAGCATTCACCCAAAAAGGCTTTAAAACATATCAATATTGAATTATCATTTGTTTAGTATGAGTACCAATGATAAGGTCGTACATGATCTCTCCATCGTTAGATAGAGTTCCACATCAATTTAATTTTACCTTAAATGTATGATATGGAGATTTTTATAGGAAACTTTGTGGCTGTATGTCAAGAATACGGTTGAAATTTTCACTACTAACTTGCAACTTACAGTTTTGCAGGAAAGAAATAATTTGGGTTCTTGTTGCTTGGTGGTTGTGGGGTGCTGAAATTTTACATTCCATGTTTTTTGATGCCCATGTATCTAAGTTTCATGGTTGCCTGTCAACAAAGCATGGTGAACAAAGCACGATTTAAACATCTAATACAATATATCGTTAGAAAGCTAAATTCTATCCGATGATTTAAACGAAAAGCATACTAAGTGGAATCCAATTACCTTCTCATCTACCATGACCATATAGATCACCATAGCTCCCCACCTTTCTTTACAATCCTAGCTTACCTTCTCCTTACGCCCACCATACTTCAACTCACTCAGAAACAATTGAGGATTTGCCATTTTAGAAGATTGCAATAAGAGAAGAAGTTAGGGAGATGAAGCCGTAAACTAGGGCCTCTCCTTTAGGTTTCATATATTATAGTCGTTGAGTTTGGTGAGGAGCGCATGGAAGCTAGACGGATGCTGATATCGTTTATTGCGATGATTGAATGACATCAACTGCATCAAATATTAATTGGAGGAGAAATCGAGTAGCTGAGTAATTTTAAGGGTTTCGCAAAGTTTTTCGAAGTACGGTAAGTCACAAGAGGATGGAGGCTAGTGTGAAAATGTTCTGCGTAAACAGTTTTTGACCTATTTGACTAAGAAACATCAGAATAAATATTATAGTGGGCTAACGGAAAATAAAAGCCCAACTATCTTGCCTAAATTGACAGATCGAGATAACCTCAAATTTAATAGTTGTTAATTTTGGCAGACAATGTGTCTTGTTTTGCCCCCTGGAGAAAAAAGTCTCCTTTATTATTAAAAGATACTATTTATCGTGATATATAAATTAAATTTTTGAAGTGAATATAAAATTTTCTTGAAACATATATAATACGCAACTATTGACAACCTTTGAACAAATTTAGATTTTTGATTAAATATCAAATTTAGTGATCATACAGGTAAAACATTTACATGAGGGAACTGTGGTCTATGTTCAAACAAAAAAAACAAAAAAAAAAAAGAATGAGGAATTTCTAGGTTCCTAGGTAACTTCGAATGAGCTTATCCACGATTACGCATCATCTTGTCAATATTACTAATGAACTTATCCACTGTTACCCACAGACCGCCGTGGCGTCAGGAGTTTCTTTTCTTCCAAAGCGCATAGAACACTGTCTGAAACGCTATACGCACACTGAATCAACCCGACTGTGAGAAGGTTGCAGCAAAGAGGCTACTGTGGCATTCCAATTGGGTGTGATGGCTGTTCCCATTAGTTTACCAGCACATTTTATCTAGACTATAAAAGAATATGGACACAAAAAAAAAAAGATGAAACACTGGCTTCAGCAGACAGAGCCGGCTTAGGGCATGGGGCAGAGGGACGTGAACCCTAGGGTCCAAAAGTTTTCATAAAAATAGTGTTAAAATAGGGTCCAATTTTCTTTAAAAAACTAAGATTAAGGGGTAAAAATTAAATTGTCCATAAATACAAGGAAAAATATACAATAAAAATTATTTTGCCCAAGGGCCTATACATACATTGAGCCGGCCCTGTCAGTAGACAGTGATGATAGTTTAGACAGTCATATCTAGACAAATATCAACATGTTCAAATTTTTCTCACTAACACGATGTATTGCATATCTAAAAGAAACTGTGATCCAGTACTCCATTTAGCTTGAATTTGCAATTCATATATACAAGATTTTCCTATCTTTTCTAAGAAATTTGTTTTTTCCTTTATTAGACTAAAAAAATTAATATTTAATGTGTTCCTCAGGGTTTCTATGATTAAATGTAGTTCTTGTTTATAAGAACTCTGTTTTTTCTTTGGTTAAGTAATTGTGTTTTAGATTCTCTTACAAACTAAATAGAAAATATTACACTGTAAGACACTTTCAAGTTATTTATAACACTCAGAGGCAGTTTGTTATACCAACACACTTTTTTTCTAACCGATCACTTTCTTCTCGTCACTCTCTAACTAAACAACTGAAAAACTAAACTATTATATTATGGGGAATTAACCTCCACCGCATATTTTTCTCACTTCCCAAAACATTTTTTATTCTTTTTTTCTCTTTCTTTGTTCTTATCTTCTTCTCTTTTCTTTTTATAGTTACAGAAAACTATTGATAAATTACTTTTTGTAAATCTCAAATTTAAAGAGATAGAGATCCATGATTTTTTTCAAAAAAAAAAAGAGATTCATGGTTACAACATCATCGTACTGTCTACAAGCATTTCTTCTGTCGTAACAATACCACCTATGTCTCCATCTCATCTTTGCCTCCTTCTCGTCATCTCTTTCTCATCGTTGCTTTCATCGTCTCCTTCTTGTTCTCGCCGTCACTTATGTCTCGTCGCTTTTATCTCCTCCATCTCGCCGCCTTCCTTCGTTGCAAAAGCTCGATGAGCAACAATGGTCAGTTTTAATTTTATTGCACATCTGACCCCTACACATTTGAATATATTCATTTCTGACATATGTGTTTTTGATTTGCAAATATATCTTTTCAAATTAATTTCACACTTTTTAATTCTACACACCATATTTTTCATAATTAAATTCAGTTATTTTTTATATTTGTTCAGTCAATTCATACACATTTTTTTTTGTTTTATCTTCACAGGAAGAATTCATGAGGATGGACAGTATGCAAGGAAGAAAGACTGAACACCCTTTTGTACATGTGGATATGTAAACCGATGTACAACCAGATCGCACACACCCTTTTGTACAGAATATGTAAAACGATGTACACATATATATCACTAAAACATTGTACTTGTGGAAATTTTAAATGAGATTTACACTTTTACTAGTATATAATCTTCTCAACTCCGCAATAACCAAATTAAAATGAATCAGATCTCATCTATATATGATTTAAGTAATATATGACATGGTTCAAATATTATTCTTTGAAGTGTAATTGTAGCAATATATATTTATTCTTACCATGACATAACATTACTCATATGAATCTACAAATTTCAAGACGTGTACTTTGACTTAGAAGTGAGATAGCAGAAATATATGTACACATTACCATAATATCACGCTATCTAATTGGATAATTTTGCTAGTTTCAAAATGTGTACAACCATATAATGTCCACGTGTACACACAAATTTTATCTCATGTACAAGGATTCGCTTGTATAATATTGTCTATGTATGTACCGATGCATAGACATCAACATATAAGATCAATTTTTGTTTTTGAGCAAGAATAACAAACGACATGTGTGTACACTTTGTGACGTGTACACATGTAGAAACTTGAACAAATTAGATGTGTAAGACAAATAGACAGGTTATTTTGTGTACACTTTGTAATGTGTACACATGTACATCGATAATGGACCAATATATGTAAAGAAGTTATACACATATATGTGGATTGATGGTTACTTACTAAAATAATTCTAAAATACTTAATAAATAGATCAAGTCAGAGTGAAAATGGTGTACATGACAATAGGTGTACATGATTTTGTATTGTGCCAAAAAAGAACATGATTTTGTATTTCATTAATATCTAATAATTTTTAGCTTTACTTTTAGTTCATTTAATATATTTTCAATGTATTTAAGAATTAATTATGTGTATATATTGCTCAATTTCAGTAACAGAGAGTTGTAGTATCTAACTAGTTAATTTTTAGCTTAATCAAAGAGACAATTGATTTTATACATGACCATAGGTGTACATATTATTTTGTGTGTTATGCTTACTGTAATGATTTTTAGTTTTTATTTTAGTCCATTTAATTTATTTTCTAATCCATTTAATTTTGTGTATATATTGCTCAAATTCATAAAATTAAAATTAAAGAAATATTGGAAAACGTTAAGGATCAAAAATGCACAACTAAAAAGTTTTGGGTTTAAAAACAATTATACAAAACATTAAAGACCAAAAGTGCAAAAAACTTAAAAGTGGCCATTGATATTCTCAAGCTTCTACAGTGTCGTGACGGTGAAAGAGATGAAGTAATCACACCGGAAATATTGTTGAAACGCAAGGGAAGAGATGACAAGATGAATCAACGTGTCGGAGGAGATGACAAAAAGACTACGACATATATGAGATTCGGTGAAGTATTTGAAGATAAGAAATTTTTACACAGATCTGAGTTTCTGTTCAAGTGACGATTGTCCAACTTCTCCATCTTCATTTTCTTTAATCATTACAACTATTGTAGCAGAGCGAGAAAAGTTCAAAACCATATATATCAACATTTTGTTCAGTCGGCGACCACTCAATTTCTTCATCTTCATCTTTTTAATCTTTAAAACAATTATAACAGAAAGAGAGAGAAAACTGTTTTTATGTAACAAAGAAAGAGAAGAAAAATAAAATTAAAAAATGTAAGACCATTTAGTTTCAAGAATACACGTGGTCAGAAAATAGTTAGGATAGTTAGCTTGTAGTTTTAATAAAGTACCTTAGGAGCAATAAGTGCTCTAGAGTGTAATAAAAAACTTGAAACTGCCCTACAATGAAAATAACTCAACTAAATACAACAAAAACGTTTCCTTTATACTTACCCAATAAACAAAAAGCATTTTTTTCTTGAGATATATAAGTAATTATTACTTCTAGTTAAGGCAATTAGGCCTGCTAAGTCTTTCTCACAATATTTTCCATTAATTGGACCAATTGATATCTTGCTTTCTTTTCTTTCTGTGGTCTACTCTTCTCTTTGGTAGCCAATTTCAAGTTAATGCTGATAACTGGTCCTGTAATCATCACTCTTCACTGACATGCTGAAGAGTTTCCAAAACAACATAAAAATTTAAACAGGCAATAATAACTAAAAATAGACTATATAGTTAAGGACTCTTGAGAGTATTTGAAACTAAGTCAAAGTCTCATTTTCAACACTCTATCTATCCTCTGTTATATATATCTGCACCTAGAAAAACTAGTACAAAAATGGGAATCAAACAGTCTTTGCATTTATTACACACACATATATGTTGTATGAGTACATAATATTGATAGTGACCTTGGAGAATAATAATCCATCATGGTCGTCCTCTTACTTTAAAGTCTGTACATACAACAAATGTGTATGTACACCCAACGAAATTAAAACTCAAATATTTAAATAATAATATTTTCTATTAACATATAGCCAAAGGATGATGTCTTTCTGTGTAAACTTCTTACTCTTTAGGTACTAGATCAAAGTTCCTTGTTTTCTTCACCTTTTGTTGTTTCTCTAGTTGGAGTTTTTCTTCTTCATATAGCTATGGATATGTTTGCATCTCGTAACTGGTCCTATAGACCAAGCTCTTTGTCTGCTGAAGCAAGTGCTTCTTCTGGTAATACTGTCAGTGCCATCCAAGATTTTAATGGCTTGAACAATGTTATCTCTAGTCGTCTTTGTACTCACATAGAGACTCAGAAGGCTAAGAAAAGGAGAGGCGTTCCTGGAAATCCTGGTAACATAAATACGATCTTTTTTACTTAATTTCTTTTTTTATCTGATAACTTTTAAAACTGGATTTTTGATTACTAGCTACATAGAAAAATCTGATGACTTTATTCATATATGTTACTACATAACGAGCAGAATCTGGGAATTTTATTTTTCATATGGGTTTTGTGAAAGTTCTTTTTTTTTTTTACAATTAGGGTTTGTCTCAAAATCATCTTTTTTACCAAGAATTTTATTGAGACTTCTTTTTCTCATGTGGAACTTGTTGCTGTGGCAGATCCAGATGCAGAAGTAGTTGCACTATCGCCAAATACACTTCTTGCAACGAACAGATTCGTCTGTGAGATATGCAACAAGGGGTTTCAAAGAGATCAGAATCTACAGCTTCACAGGAGAGGTCACAATCTTCCATGGAAGCTGAAGCAGAAAAACACCAAAGAACAGCAGAAGAAGAAAGTCTATGTGTGCCCAGAGCCAAACTGTGTTCATCATCACCCATCTAGGGCGCTTGGTGATCTCACAGGGATCAAGAAACACTTTTGCAGGAAACATGGAGAGAAGAAATGGAAATGTCAAAAGTGTTCAAAGTTCTATGCTGTTCAATCTGACTGGAAAGCGCATACTAAGGTCTGTGGTACAAGAGAGTATAGATGTGACTGTGGCACTCTTTTCTCGAGGTAACCTTTTTATATATTTTATTCTTTTTATTCAGTTTGTTCTTCTATGGAGATCTTTCATTGTTTTAAATTTAATTAGATTTCTTGATATTTTTACTGATGTTTTATGTGACAATTCTAGATTTTTTTCTATACACAGAAAGAGATGGCAGTCACATGGTATATGTAAATCTATACAACTTTTCTTGAAATATATTGTAGTTGTATATGCATAAGTGATTTTAATGCTTTCATGTGACTAATTTCAGTTGTCTTCATTTGGTTATATGTTGTTTGACAAACTGCTAGCGTCTGTCATGGAATAAAGGTTCATGAATTAAGACATTCTATATAGATATCATAATGACACACATATATATATATATATACATTGAGAAATAGTAAGAGATAAAGTTTTTTCTTCTTTGAAGTACCAAATGGTATGTATTAGCATAAACCAATTTTTAGTCAGAAAAAAAAAACATAAACCAATTTTACAGTTTAAAAGCTGATGTGTGTGTGTCTTTACAATTATAATTCTTGTTCACTTAAAATGGCTTATTTAATTTCTTATTGCATATGTAAAACTTGTGTCGCATTATTAAAGGAGATAATAATAAAAAGCCTGCATGTGAATCTTCTTGCTCATCATGATGCTGAAAAAGAATCATGATTTTTCTTTCTTTGCAGTCTATGATTTAAGTTGTTTATATATGTCTACACTGCATAGGTTCATTATTACACTGAGGCTTCAAAAGCTTTTCTTGGGATTCTTGAGACTTCTTCCAGTCTGTTTGGTCCATCTTAAATTATTTCACTTGTTGCACTTTCATCATCATCGATGGTAAATAGAAATGTCGTTCATATTCTCTATATTTAATTTGTTTTGGGGGTGAAATTTGTATAAACAGGAAAGACAGTTTCATAACGCATAGAGCGTTCTGTGATGCATTAGCAGAAGAAAGTGCAAGAATCATCTCAACTCCTTCCACCAATCTCACAAACCCAAGCCCTAGTTTCCATGAACGCCACTTTGTGCACAATAAATCTTCCTCTTCTTCCTTGCTCTTCACGTCACCTCCTTATGTGAACCCTGCACCACATTCCTCCACCGCACCAGCGCTCTCCGCAACAGCTCTCCTCCAGAAAGCAACCGCTCTCAGCTCTGGACTTCTCGGCGGAGGAGAACAAACGCGGTCAGCAGGTCACGACCGACACTTCACGACGGTCAACGAGCTTCTTGGTACTGACCAAAGTATGATGATGACTCCCTCGTCTGAGTACGACCAGCTTGTTGTTGACGGGCTAACGTCCACATGGCAGAAAGCTGACCGTTTGACCAGAGACTTTCTTGGACTCACGGGTCATGGAGCGCACGTTAGCGTGGGACCCGGGGATATGCTGGAGTACGCAGGTGCTGTGTCGTTTCCTATGTCAACGTACCTTACTGAATCTCATAATCACGAGTCGTCGTCGTCGTTTCAGAAGGCTTACGATCTGGGATTCTCTGGGCCCCATAATATGTAAAAAGGGTTAAGATGGAACCTACTTCCGTTATTTTGTTGCTCTTTAATGAAATTAAATACCATTGGAAAGATGAACACAGACAAAGAGCATGTGATTTCTTTCTGGTTACTTCCTTAGGGTTTGTTTATTTCTTTTAATTTTCAAATTGCTACAGATCAACGTTAGATTTTCTTATCAAATACTATATGCGTTCAGGTAAAACATTTAGAATTCTCATTTATGAATACTTGACTTTGATTTGACTAGGCATTGATTCCCAGATTTGACGTTATTCCGCTTCGTCTCCATTTTTGAAATTGCGCCATATGTACTGAGATTGTTCGGGAGACATGGTCTAAGGTAGTTGAATGAGACAGCAGGCGGGTTACACGTTCCACTACGCCGCAGGTCACCGGGAATGAAGTAAACTCGGCTCCTGATGTAGGTTAAAAGAAGTGTTGTTTTTATGTGTGACATCAAAGTTACATATTTTTAAGCTAAAAAGAATATATATATGTCTTTCCACCACATCAAAAATAAATGGATCAGTGACGACCCCACATACTGCTCTGGGGACTGACGAATATGTCCTCTCAAAGCCAGCTTCTTTGTGTGATACTGTACTACTAGTTTATATACAACACGTCTACGTATTAATACAAACAAAAACTCCATCTACGTACATGTATATGGTGTATTTCTTTTACAAATGCACGCATCATATTATATGGAATTATTGAATATATAAACATATAACATAGTTTGTCATTACGATAGATCGAGCTTTGTTAGAGGATTTTTGAGATTGTCATTATATTAATGACAAAATAAATCAACATATATAACTTTTGTTAGAGGCTTTTTGATATTTTGATATACATTTCTGATCAGACAGTCATTAAATCAAATATTAATATTATATTCATGATTTAATTCATTTTAAATATTAAATTTGAAAAGAACCAATAATATTTTACTTATAAAGATCGATAACTATATATTGTTGTATATGAGGTCTAATTTCACAGTTAATTTACTGGAATTTCGCAATATGCTCCAAAAATTCTGATTGTTGTTAACGGATCGTAATCACATTAATTAATCGGGGACACGTGTCGTATTTATTGGTTATCATTTCTGCAACAACACAAGAACAAGTATCATATATATTCATATCATACTGCGACGAATTAGTAGTTGCTAATTTACCAATCACAAGGTGACCAAAACAATGAAACTGTATTCTCTATTTAATAACGAATGATACCACAGATCATTCAAAAGTTATTACTTATGCCTACATAAGCGTATTAACAAATGTAAACTCAAGAAAAAATTACTGATTAAAAAGGAAAATAAAATCAAAAGGAATTAGAAACATCTAGAGAGGAGAGTGTGATAAATCAACTAAAAAGATATACAAAACTACGAGGAATAATATATATATTTTTTTGGATCAAAACTACGAGGAATAATATAAAGTAGAAAAGATTTAAAGAAGTTAAAAACGAAGGTCAAAGAGTTTGTTGACGAGAACACGCATGCATGAACATGCGAACACTTTAAGCAAAAAAAAAAAAAAAAAAAAAAAACAAAGAGAATCTGCGACCACAAAAAGTCAAAAGAAACATTAAAGAACATTGTTAATAGGATCAATATATTTTCCTTTTATGATTTTACGAAATCTTAATTAGTCCCCATTCTTTTTTTTTTTTGAGTATTTGCATCTCGTATACAAACTAAACCCCTAAATTAACTATCTACCATTTTTATCTCTTATCTCTTCCCCCCCCCCAACTATTTTTCCCCCAAAACTATGGCATATTGCTAATATCCAAGTTCTTTATGTATTTTCAACCAATTCACCCCTTTTTTTTTTGAAGAAAAGCTTACATAAATACAGAAGAAATAAAAAAGGTTTCAAGCCCAAAGGTCATAGTTACTAGGCCTTAACACATTACAAATCCACATAATTAAAGAATCTAATTAAATCAGAACCCTAGTTTGCTTCCTCTTAATTAATCGAACCAGAAAATGATAGTCAAATGAGATAAGAGGAGAGGGGCAGTTGAATCATGCATATCAGACTCAGTATTGAAACATTTTTGAAGCAACGATTGGAGTTGCATGCTTGAAGTTCTGTGTTTTGTTCATGATTTGCCGATCAAGAGAAGAGAAGATGACATCAACAGATTTGAAGGTGTTTAAGTGTAGTCTTGTGTTCCGCTCACTCCACAGCCAGTAGATCTTCCCTTGCCAAGCTAAGAGAGAGATTTGCGTGAGATGCCTACAAAAGATTAATTTCCATAACTCAAAGCTAAACTCACATTCATGGAACAAATGGTTCCTTGTCTCAGGGGTGGTCTTGCATAGGAGGCAGAGATGGTCGGTTTGGATTCCCCACTTGATGAGGCGGTCCTTTGTTGGTATCATGTCTTGGACTACTAACCACACATGGAAACTATATCTGGGGATTCCTCTTTTTATCCATACTAGTTGCGCCCAGTTGACCGGTGTTCCATCTTCTCGAAGGTAATCATAGATGTCGCTTGTAGAGTATTTGGTGGATAGTTTCCAATTGATATCATGTTTGAAATAGCCAGGCTCGTCATTTAGATCACTGTAGTAAGATATATATAAAGTTGAAGTTGTTGTTTTGTTCTTACAAAGGAAGGCGCCAAAACCCATTCCTACAAAGAGAGGAAACAATTGCTTTGACATGAATTCCCAACCGAGATGTAGACCCATTTAGATAAGCATCGAGACTTCCATATGGGGACCAATTATCAAACCAGAATCGCGCCGACAATCCATTTTGAATTTGCAGCTTGAGGAGAGGGTAAACTAGCGATCTCATCTTCAATATTTTATTCACCAGCCACGAGAAGGAGGCGTTTGGTTTCGTTGTCCAATAGTTGCTTAGATTTCCTTTTAGAATCTCCTCCTTGAACCAAGCAACCCATACTGAACCACTTCTAAAAAATAAGAGCTAGATTAGTCTTATATAACAAGCCTTATTCCAAGTATGAAGATCTTTAACCCCCAAACCCCCTTGATCTTTAGGGAAACCAACCACATCCCTAGCTACCCTCACAGAGTTTCAAGAATCAACATCGCCCTTCCACAGATTGACGGTACACATACACTTTATCCTTGCAATACACGCTTTGGGTAGAATGAAAGAGGAACACCAGAAAGTGTTGATTCCCGAGATGCAGTTTTAATCATAAACAATATTTCTGCAAAAGAGAGAGACTTTACAGACCAGGAGGAGAGTCTTGCTTTTAATTTCTGAAATAGTGGCTCGCAGTTTGTGAGGTGCATCTTTTGTGAGTTTAGAGGAACACCAAATTATTTAAAAGGTAAATTTCCTAGTTGCATCTCTATAGTTGCTTGTATTGTTTGTAGCTCATATTCTTCCATTACTGAAGCAAAGAAACTCGTCTTTTCCATGCTCACTTTCAGCCCTGAAATCTTTCGAATTCCTTGAGCACTAAGAGTACTTGCTGGAAAGATTCAATGGACCCATCTATGAAGATCAAGAGGTCATCAGCAAAGGAGAGGTGAGTCAACTTTCTCTTTTTACAACTTGAGTGATACTTGAGCTTATTTTCTTCTGTCGCCTTGTTTAGAAGTAACAATAGGAAATTCATTGCTATGACAAACAAGTAGGGAGATAAAGGATTTCCCTGCCTTAGATCTCTCCTCCCTTTAAAGTATTCATTCACTGTCCCATTGTAACCCACCATGAAAGTTATAGTGCAAACACAAGACTTGATCCAGGCGATAAGTTGTTGAGGAAGTTGAAGACCTTCAAGGGGAGCAAAGAGAAACTCCCATGATAAGGATCAAAGGCTTTTGCAATGTCCACCTTGATTGTGATTTTTTTGGGCCTTTATTTTTGTGATAGTCATTCACCAGTTTGTTTGCCAGTGTAGTGTTCTCAAGTAGTAATCTGTCTTTGATAAATGTTGTTGGCTTGGCATGATAAGGTCAGGGAGGCAGACTTTAAGGCACTTAACGAGAATTTGAGAGATGAATTTGCAGACGGTGTTGAGACACGATATAGAGAAAAACTCTGTGATCTTTGAAGCCCCTGGGAACTTGGGGACCAGAGATAAGATTGTTGGATTTAGGGCCGTGGGAAGGAAAACAGACGAGAAGAAGTGAGCAACTGAGTTAACCACTTCATCACCAATGAAACTCCATGAAGATTCAAAAAACCCTGATGTAAGTTCATCTGGACCTGGTGCTTTGTTTGGCTTTAATTTAAAAAAATATCCTCCTTATTTCCTCTGATGTTGGCAGTGAAACCATTTGCTGAGTCAGAGATTCTGGGCACTGGAAAGTTGATATATCCACAAACCACCAAGGAAGAGAGATTAGTTGAGGCGGGTGATAGACTGGGGGACCCAAAACAGACTGAAAATGAGAGACCAATGCTCATTTGAATCGGGTCAGTAATCCAATCTCCATTGATAGAGAGGAAGCTTCTGATGGCATTATAGTTAGCTCTCACTTGACAGATTCGATGGAAAAAGGTAGTGTTTAAGTCACCTTCAGCTAACCAATTAATCTTGACTTTTTCCTAAAGAAACTTTCTTCTATGTCTTGAAGGAATAGCCACTTCTGATGCAAGTCTCGTTCATCTTGAAATGTGATTGTTGATGGGCTTTGGAGCACTTATACCTGCACATATTGTAACAAACTGTAAGTCTCTAACGCTCTTTCTTAAAATTTTGAAAAATTCTCTCTGTTTAGTTGTTTTAAGCCTTGTTCGGAAACTCGTTAGGCGCTACGTGTGCGGCACATTAGTGCCTAGCGATTAATTAAAAAATCGGGAAAAACTCGGAGAGTATGCAGGGAAGAATTTTTTGTATTTTTATACGTATATATATCATATTAAATACACATAAACTAACATTTTAGTTGTAGGCCCTATATATATATCTATGGTTTCATATTTTTTACAAAGAATTTACACATAAACAAACATTTTATTAGTGTTAAAAAAAGACGAA